AAGACATCTTCTGCCTCCATTTATCTGTTTACTACAGTGTGTTGAATTCATGTTAATGTGGATTTAAAGAAATTTCAATTAGTGGAAAAAATTACAGGGGGGAATATAAAAAAAAGGCTAATCAACCAAAAGTTTCACGACCCCCATGCAGTACCTCCGCGGACCCCCTAGGGGTCGCGGACCCCCTGTTGAAGACCACTGCTGTAGAATGAAAGCAACCAATTACAGCTAGCAGATCAAAATATCAAACCTAGAGCAGCAGAAATTACGAAACCAAACGGTTGGATTTGATAAAAAGACAAACTGATATTTATTTTAGCCTAAGAATATTTAATCCACTTACTAAAGTTCATTTTAGGTCATATACTTGTGCTTTGATTTAGCTACAGGTGTGGATTTAAAAAAAAAAAAAAATTTAATTTCTTCAAGCTGCTGTGAGGTGATGCAAAACTTTAACTTCCTTAAAAGAAAAGCCCATCTAATCCGGGCCACATATTTTTTTTATTTTGCTGTACGTGTTTGGATACAAACAGAGGAGAAGGAACATAGACCCTTCTTGACTTCTGCTCTATCATATTTTCTTTTGTTTATTCAAATATGATGTTTTGTTTAGTTGTTTGTTGTCATACTCATATGTTTTTGGACTGAAATGCTAAAAAACTAGATCAAAGGTCACTGTTTAAACATGTTGAACATTACAGTACTTTTTTTTTTTTTTTTTACAGTTCCCTCTGCAGGCTCAGATATGATGACTGTGATAACTACCTTTTTATTACCTCATTTCACTCCCAGATAAACCTGTTGTCCTTGTTATTTTCCTCCTGGAAAGCTCACAATAATCTTGAGCGGAAGTGCATGCATAATAGTATTCTGTCGTTTTTTGTGGAAGTACTTTTAAAGATATTTCTGCAGAAAATTCATTGTACATTTCATATTTACTATTGTTGTAATTAAATAATCATTTAACCAAATACTTGAACAGGTATTTTAAACACAAAAATTTTCTGTAAATGTAAAACTAAAGATATTTAAAAAATCTGCAATATGTGTTTATCATGAGTTAACTGTGGACACATAGTATATATTTATATTAGGATGCATTTAACATACTTGGAAATGTGCTTATCAAAGGTATATAAATGCTTTTATGTTAGCGTGTCTTAAGACTAAATAAGAAAAATACAACATTCC